GTTTCAGACAGAGGACATCCTGCTCTGACCTCTACCTGCCTGGTTTTTATCCATCTGAAGGGAGAACACGAAGGACTGCAGTTCACAAGCAAAGTCTACAACGCCAGTGTCAAGGAGAACAGCAGAGCTGGTACGTTGTATCTGTTTGTCTTGTTTTCACCGATACCACTGAACATCTCAGTCATTGTTTTTGTCTTTTTCTTTCTAAAGGCACTTGGATTGCAAAGGTGGAGGCCAACGACCAAAGCAGCAGCAGACAAAGAATAACATACACCATATTTAGCGGCAACGAGAACCAGGTTTTCTCCATTAACCGTCACACTGGTAATTAAAATGTTAATTTCTAAATACAACTTTTTAACCAATAAAACCGTCTAATCCCGCAATTTAGATTTTCTGTTAGTTTTTTGTATTATCCCTAAATTACCTCTTTTCAAAAAAAATCAGCTTTTCTGGTCCTTCTGCATTTTTTAATACATAAGTATTTCAAAACCATGTATGATTTTATCATATTTTCCCCCAAATTCCTTTTTTTGACTCACGTCTACATAAAGTAACCGTGCAGACACACCAAGTCAAATACACAATCTCATACTGATGTTGGACTGAACGTTCACCACAAAAACTTGAACCTAAAAGTACTTCTGTCGACACCTTTGTTGTCAGATTGAAAGCTGTGTTTTTCTTTCCACTACTTTACCATGACTTTTCTATTATTTGGTGAAAAGAGGCCAAAGAGGAAAAGGCCCTGTTCACAGAAGGGCGTGAAGTAAGATGTCAATTAAGATTATGATTTCTATGATTTGTGTTTTTAAAAATAAACCTTATTGGCTTGATATTAACTGAGCTGTACTTCCTTTTGAGTGCAGCTTTTACCTTCATGTTACCGTCTTATGTAGGTGAAATCCGAGTGCAGAAGGATTACTCTCTGGACTTTGAGGTGAACCCCCACATCCAGCTGGTGGTGTTGGCTGACAGTGGGCTGCAGACAGCTCACTGCAGGGTCTCCATCACTCTGGTGGACATCAATGACAACGCACCACAGTTTGAACACAGCACCTACAGGACAGCTGTCTGGGAGGGCCAAGTGCACAATACCTACATTATGCAGGTAAACTTTCGGTATTAACGCCCTCATTGATGTGAGATGCATGCAGTGATCCCTCTAATACTGACCGCTTCTCATATTTTGAACAGGTGTTTGCCTCCGATGCTGACAGCGGCATGAACGGCCAGATTGAATACTCCATTCTCTCTGGTAACCTTAATGGAGCTTTCATTTTGGACTCTGTACGAGGAATCCTTGCGACCAATGTTTTACTGGACCGCGAGATCACTCCATCATACAAGTATGCTCAAACTGCTCCATAAAAAATATTAAGTAAAACTTTATTGCACACATAAAATTGATTCTACTTCCAAAATGGAATCAGCTACAGTTGCATGTTTCTTCTACTTCACTTCTTCGTAAATGTTAAAGCATTTTAACTGGCGTAGTACAGCAATTATTTTGGTGGCATTTTACAATCTTCCTACTGTCCTGGTGAAAAGAAGATACACCTTCTATCATTTTTAAGCTTTTACATATCAGGATATAATAAAAATGATCTGGTTCTTAGCAGGTCTTAAGCTCGGATAAATACAATATCAGATAAATCACAAAACGGGGCATATTACACCCACTCTGCCTCCTGAGCTGCAAAACTTCTGGAACAATGTCTGCTGGACAGATAAGATCAAATGTCTTGTTAGGTGAAAACCACACACAGCATATTAGCACAAACAATAGTCAAGCACAGCGGTGGAGGTGTGATGATTTGGGACCTGGGCACCTCGTATACCAAGTCATCTAGACTCAAATATGAGGCCATGTGCCTGACAGGTGAAGTCTGAAATTGGGTCATGTAACAGGAAATAGATCCCAAGCACAGCAGCAAATCTACAAAACAAAAGGCAAAAGGGAAAAGAATGAAGGCGTTGCAGTGACTCAGTGAAAGTCCAGACCTCATACTGATAGAAATGCTGTGGCAGGACCTTAAAAGAGCTGTGCACAAACAAAGTACCTCAAACCTCAATAAGCTGAAAAAACGTTGCAGAATGAGCCAAATTTCCTCCACTACCATGTGAGAGGCTGATAAAGTCATACAAAAACGATTAGTTCAGGTTGTTGCTGCCAAAGTTGGTGCTATAAACTACTGAATGATGGAGTGTGCTGAGGTTTTTCACACACTGTTTGGCTTAGTTTTGATAAATAACTAATGATATGGTGTAATGTGTTGTTGTTCATCTGAGGTTGTATTTATCTGATCTTAAGACCTGCTAAGGACCAGATTATTTTTATTTTATTTTTATTTGTAAAATGTTAGAACTGAAAGAGGGCGTACTTTTTTCTACCATGACTACAGGTGAAGATTTTCAGGATTCAAGGTAGCAGCAGGGTTTTTTGGGGTTTTTTTACAAAGTACTGATTTGTCTCTTTTACAAGAAGGGGCCAAGACAACGTAATAAATCTGAATTAAGCCACCCATGGAGCCTGTAGTTACAACTGACAGTAAGCCAAACCCTCTTCACTGCACTGGTCTTCCATTTCTTTGAAAGGCAGAAAGGAATAAGACTTGACTAACTTTTCCTCCTCCACATTACAATAAAACAGGATTATATCTTTGTGATTGTGGGTGTAACCAAGAACCTCTGTTTTACTCTGAGTCAACAGGCCCGCTCAGCTGAAAAATGGATTTGAGAATTTGACTAAAGCTCAGTTGTATTATTTGCTAATTTCCTACCTTTCTATATTACAGGCTGGTTCTACAGGCAGCAGACAGGGGGAATCCTCCACTGAGCAGCACCGCCACCGTTAGGGTCCAAGTGGTAGATGTCAACGACAACAGCCCTGCCATTCCCCCCATGGATCCTGTACTTATAACTGAGAGTAAGCCTAACTCCTGTCAATGCACTGCTCTTCCATTTCTTTGAAAGGCAGAATCTCTTCAGTACGTCAATACTTACAGTTTTTGTAGGACAAGATTTAAATCCAAGTTCATTGTAGTTTAAACTACAATCTGCTATTCTCTGCCTAGATCTGCCAGCAGGATACATGGTGACCCAAGTGACTGCAAATGACGTTGACCTGAGCTCGACTATCACCTACAGCTTCTCAGACAACAGCAGCACCAATATTCCCTTTGCTATCGACCGGTATACTGGCGTCATTACCCTGACTCGAGCCCTGGACTATGAGGAGCAGACAGAGTACACTCTGACGGTCTGGGCATCTGACTCAATTCACCAGACCAATGGAGAGGTTAAAGTTCAAGTGCTCGATGTCAATGACAACGCTCCAGTGTTCACCCAGGACTCCTACCAGGTGCAGATACAAGATTTTTCAGTCAGATGGTTGAAAGCATTCATAATCTTAATTATGTGGTACTCAAAATATTCCCCCATATATATAGATATATAGATATAAAATAAATATTCCCCCCTCTAGCAGAGGCCTGCGCTCTTCTGGACAGCACCTTATATACCATATACCAGCACCACATATATAATAACTCATCAAAATTTGGATTGGATCATTTTCCTAAAAGCCCGTGGCCTAATTGAATGAAAGTTAGAAAAGGAGGTGGAATATGTAAAGAGTAAAAACTTTCAGTAGATTCAGAAAACTTTCTGCAGATGTGATTTGCTCTTTGTTTTTCTCTTGGAGGTGGAGTTATCAGAGCTGGTCTCAGCAGACACGTTTGTCGTGTCCGTGTCAGCTACCGACAGAGATTCTGAACTCAATGGCAAGATCAACTACAGACTGCTTTCATCTCCCCTGCAAGGCTTTTACATCCAGCCAGAGGATGGTAAGGAACGGTGCAACTCATGAAAAGGGAAAGTGCTCCCATACATGATGTATGAACACTGACAGCAAAAGATTACTCTATACTCTTTGCGCACATGTATATGTCACATGCAGTATCTAAGTATACCAGAGTTACTATACTCTATACTCATACTCTACTCATATCAAACGTTATGACTGTCTAGTGGTATGATTTCTATATTTAGGAGTTGCTCTCTACATTGAAGGTATCTTTACTTGCACAGTTAAAGTCATGCATGCCTTAACCAACGGCACACTGAAAACCTGACTGGGAGCAGCTCAGGATACAGCAGGAAATGATACTTGGACTTTTTCTTCTGCCAGTAGCATTTTAGCAATGTGGAAATATATTTTTGAAGTCTTGTGCTAGTGAGGTTCTTGGACAAGAGCGAAAAAAAGCCGATTAGAAGTCAGCAAGATAGAGTGCTTTGGATGAGCCGTGCCTGTGTTATTATCTCCCTTTTAAGAATCCCTAAACCCAAGAAAGAAGATAAATCCTACATAGCTGAAACCAAACCAGCTCCCCTCAGTTCTGGCCAGTTCTCTTTCACTTAAGAGTAATTTACGGGCTTTTACCAGGTTTGAACCCCAAATTTAATATCAGAGAAATGCATTTGCCCTGTTTTGTGGTGAGATGCACTAATGGAAATTTGCAGCAATGTTGCCGAGTATGGTGCTTTCTGTGGTACGGTGTGTCTCTGTTAGAGTAGAGCCTCAGAGTGAATGCAATCGTCCTGTAGAAAACCTTAAGTGGCACTGAAGTGGAATAATAAATTGGATGAACAGACACTTTGTTGCATTTCACCAAGAAAATTGCCCTTCCAGTCAGCACATGGAAATAATGTTGCAATGCTGTGTCTAATGACCACGGCAGTTTTGATTTAACCCTTAATAAATTGATAGATTGTTACAATACGCTGATCTTAAGAGGAGCAAATCCTTCAACTGTATATTTCTTAAACTGAAGGCCAGGTCTTTGAATTCAGTGAAGAATATTTTGGTCTAAATGACCATATAACCATGTATTTATTTGCATTTGGTGGACCCCCTTTAGCTTGTTGATATATTATTTCAACATGAACTGTTCAAAAAGAGCTTCTTTTCATATCAGGATTGTTCACCTTTCTTAGTCTCCGAGTGCTTCTTGAAATATCCAGTGTGCATTGGGATCATTATTCTGCTGCATTAAGTCTGTTAATCCATCTTCACAAAGAAAAATGAAGCATCTGGTGTTGTGCTGCTCCTCCTGGGTCAGATGAAGTCCATTCAGGGAAAGTGACCAACTCCAAAATAACCAAAAAAAACCCTTGAAAGTTCCCACCAGCATGTTGCACTGTGGATTTTTCTTCCATGGCAGAGTCATTATCTCTAGTCTTTGTTTTCTTGTATACACATTTCGGTTGCTACCATAAGCTGAGAGAAGAACAGTTTGTTTAGAAATCACTATGGGTGCTTTACAGATTACACTTGATTTAGTCATTTCTATATCTGTGATGAAGTTTTCTGTCCGTCGGGCTTGATGTAGTGATCTTCTGATTACTTTTCGTCTAACAAATCTTGCTTTACAAAAATATTCTATTGTTCTCCCTACCGAGAGGAGGAGGGGTAGATACCAAAAACAGCTCCAACTCATGGTCACACTAAAGTCAGTAAAACTTTATTTTACCCACATTTTTTTATAGATCGTCTTCAAATTCCACAACCTCATATTAGACCTCGGGTGGCATGACTGCCTTGGTTGGCTAAACATTTGACCTTTGTTGTTAGCGCCAAAGATCAAAGTTGACCTTTGAAAAATAATTTCAAGTAACCATTTTGAGTAATATATCGTATGAAAGGGCATGGAGGGAGCTGTACAACTTACTTTTTAGGTTTTCAATGAAACGCCTTGTGATGTCACAAAGACACCGTAACAGGCTGATGTCGTCATATTGTAATAAAAACATCTAAGTTTTAGTTTAGCCCCTGGCCTTCGGTGGAGTTGTGCTCTCAGTGCTCTTGTTTCACTATGTTCTGTTTTAAGGGTTGTCAAAATATCTGATTATTAACAGATTTGTTGGTCATGAAAACACTACGGTTTTTACATGTGGTTTCAGACATTCGGATCCACAACATTTTGAGTCACCTTACCGACTACCGTGCTTGCCAATATATATATTAAAACTCATTATTAGATGCAGCAATATATTTCTGTTATAGATGATCATAACTGGGAAGACTGCAGGCCAAATCAAAACCAAAGCACTAAACTATGGGCTAAACATCCAAAGAGTTGAAGAGTTTTGCAATATTTTGCATGTTTTGTAAAAAAATAAAAGTTATATCCCCTTGTTGAAAAACAAAGATGTGAATAAAGCCTTTATATTAATTTAGGCTTTATTTTAAGCCTATGATTATATGCTAATAGTCCTGTTTGTGACTGTTACTGCCTTTAGTAACAGTCATGAATGTTAGAACCATTATCAATACAACAATATCAACTGGTCCTTTAAAGCAACTCATTAACTGATGGGAATATATTCTATTTTGCAGGGTCTATTTTTACTAACAAGCCCTTAAAGGCCATCACAAACAGCAACCTGATCCATCTTCTAGTTGAAGCAAGAGATGGAGGAGATCCTGTGCACTCCACCGTTACCTCCATAGACGTGCTGATTTTGGACACCAATGACCACGAACCTTCGTTTTACCAGGGCATATACACACTCACTGTCCCGGAGGACACGCCTATAGACACTACCCTGCTGACTCTTTCTGCAGAGGACCAAGACTGGAGCCCTGAAAATAGCTATTTGGACTATACCATCACCGGGGGAAATGAGGAGAAAAGATTCTGTCTGGAAGTAAAAATGGTTCAGATTGAGAATCAGATTAAAAATGTTGGAAAGCTTGTTCTTTGCAACGCTTTAGACCGTGAAACTACTGAGAGCTATGCATTAACAGTGAGCGTTTCTGATCGAGGAATGCCTCCACTGAACAGCTCTACCGTCGTCATGGTGACTGTAACAGACTGCAATGACAATGTCCCTGTGTTTTCCAGCACAGAGTACCATGCACAAGTAAGTGAAAACAGCCAGTTAGGTACCAAACTGGTCCAGGTCAGTGCCCACGATCCCGACCTCGGAACCAATGGCCTGGTGCGGTATGATATAATTTCTGGGAACAGTAAAGGTCACCTTAAGCTTGATCCTCAGTCTGGCCTCTTAGTAGTCAACAACTCTCTCGACTATGAAAAAGACTCGAAATACATCCTCACCATCAGAGCATCGGATGGTGGCAAATCATCTGAAAACCATAAAGTGGCATTTACGATTGTCTTCATCGCGGTGTTGGATGAGAATGACAATACCCCATATTTCATGTTTCCTACAGTTAACTGTTCTGTGCTGGAGAACCTCCCTGCATTTACCCATGTATGTTCTGTTCACGCTGTTGACAATGACTTAGGCCCTTATGGGCAGCTCACCTACTCTGTTATGTCCTCCTGCTTCATGAACTATGGCAGCGGTAACCCAGAGAGGAAGGAGGCCTTTGCCATCGATCCCCTGACAGGCGACATTCACACCAGACAAACCTTTGACTACGAACGAGAAAGCGAGTACTGTTTTATAGTGGAAGCCAGAGATAAAGGTGACAAAGCTGCTACAGTGAGAGTCCAAGTAAATATCAAGGGAGTGGATGAATTTAGTCCGGTCTTTACCCAGAAGCAGTATCACTTTCTGTTGCCAGAAAACGTCAAGCCTGGTGATACGGTCGGTTACGTGATGGCAATGGACCATGATGGAGGTGTGGACGGGGTGGTGGAGTACTCACTTGTGAATTCATCACCTTTTTTCTCCATTAACAGAACAATTGGGGCTATCTTTGTTTCTGGTCCTGTGTATCATAGGGCAGGCAGCCAGGACATGGTAGAACTGGTTGTTACTGCAGCTAGTCCCAGATTAGGCTCCAGGACTACAACCTGCCTGGTTTTTGTCAATGTCTCTAGTTCAGCTGAAGCACTAACTGGAGTCCCCCTGGATACTCATATGCTCAGTTTGACTGTTTCATTAATCATGTTTCTCTTTCTGCTTATCCTTTTTGTGAGCTTGGTTCTCAGATGTAAGCTCAAAGATGCAGCCATCAGAAAGGCTGCTGCCATTGCTACACACTTGAGCCATGGCACAAGCTCGCTCACGAGACATAATAACCAAACACAAAGTTCCATGTCTTTGCATGACATTACACGCCCAAGCATCATGGTGACTAAAATGGACATCTCAAACCCATATAATCCATCAGACTCGAGCGGGCGAGGTTCAGCGGAAGGCGAGACAGCCGAGGACCAGGAGATCAAGTGGATCAACGAATACCCCTGCCGTAAAAGAAACGAATCTGCCCAGAAGTCCACAGAGATCCCAGACTCTGCCTTACTAGGAGATAATATCTCTTGCAGTTCCATCGATGTAGGACCAGAGCACATCTTATCAGTCAATAAATGTTTAGTCTCAGGGATAGCCAGCACAGAAAGTCTCTACCACTTCAAAGAGGAAGGAGGAGGCGAGGGACTACTTCCTGGAATACTCAGGATGAGAGATTTAAAGGAGAACATGGGAATAAAAGGGTTCGCCCCCCTTTCTGAAGCCCAGGCTTCTGCAGATTCTCTCTCCTCACTGGTGTTTCTAGACGAGGAGTTGCAAGGTAGCTACTGCTGGGACTACCTTTTGGACTGGGAACCCCGTTTCCAGACTCTAGCCTCCGTATTTACTGATATTGGGATGCTCCCTGATGAGGAACTTGAAGGTGGCCGTGAGGACTTAGCAGCAGAATCGAGTTGTCTCATGTACCCACCACCTCTTATAACAGGGGTAGCACAGCAGGGCATAAGGACCGTTCCTCCACGAAAGCCAGGGCGTGTGCCAAGCATCGTCAGACGACCCTCTTACCGGAAATATGCTTATTCCCCCTTAGCCAGGAACACTGGACTTACCCCTTCAGCTATGACACCTAATTTCTCCCCATCACTGTCTTCGCTCACTATAAGGACCCCCAGTGCCTCACCAGTGGTCTCAGACACTGGAGTTGGGGGGATCAGACTTGAATCAGGACCCCTCACTGCTAGCCTTTTAGAGGCAGAAATACAGGTATAGCCAAAAATTTTAAGTGACATCACGTTCATTTACGATTCACCTTTTGAAGATTTTTTAGGAGACACTGCACAGTTTGGTTGTGATTTTGCTGATATTCAGATATATTCCTGATATCATTTCCATAATAGTCTCATTGTCCACTTGTAGGGTTTTAAGGGGTGATACCGTAATACAACACAATAATATCCTATTGAAGTTATTGTAGTGGTTTGCATTCCCGGGCGAAATCGTAACTCACTTCAGTAAAAATACTAAATTAATATCTGGAAAACCCGGACTGAAACCTGTCTTGCATTATATCCTTGTTATGTACATGTCTGAAAAAGAGCAGATGTTCTAGTCAGCAATTAATTACCGAATGTTTTATTGTAAACATGTATATGAGCAGAAAATGAAACACTTTGTTATTGCAGTTGGTTGCAGCTTCTAAATGGAAACTTTTTCATGGTTGATTTAACTTTAATAACCAAAGAAAGGCAATATTTTTCTGCGGTTAGCTATGTTAGCTGCTTCCTGGAATAATAAAAAATGGTATTTTGAATCCAGGCCTTTTTGCCTCCCCTTTTCATATAATCTCTCAATAAATCCCAGTGAGAAACAGAATACATTTTATTCCTTCAATTTAATACTTTAATACTTTTAAGGCTAAAAGAAAGGCTGGGTTAGTGCAGCTATCTCTCAAAACCAAAATACAGTTCAGGAATTCCTCACTGGTACGAAGTTTGTACATATTATACTGTTTCTGCTGTCTCTATTCATGAACCAGCTCATGTCATTTTCTCATGATATATATTCATGATTGTTTCTGTGTGCTGTCTGTAAACTTTGGCCACCCTGTTAATAAACAGAACTTTAGGTATAATTTTCAGAGAAATGTATAATCTAATCTAAAACATTTGTAAGTAAATAATTTGTAATAAAAAGTTTCTCTTGGGTTTTTTTGTCATATTGTGCTACCGAGTTTCTTTAGGATAATTTGATTTGCATGTGTACGTATTTCCTCATTTCCAGTGATAAAAATGTTTTTTCGTCACTGTAACTGAGAATCAGTGACATGAACCAGTAATAAAGACAGGATTCTTGTGGTGGGGCAATAATAAAACAGCTCTTTAAAAGCATTTTTGCAACAAATACATTAAACTTTTATGATGTGTTTTCCCAGGATATTGCATTTTACGCTTCAGACGGTTTTCTTTTCATGAATCTGGTCTTTCACATGGTCAGCTTCAATATTTTGCATCTGAACAGCAACAAGAGATTAAATTCTTTGATAATACTTTACATAAGAAAAATGGGATAAAGGTTTTCAAACTATGTGAACACTTGTGGTGGTGTGCAGCGCTATCACAGATTCTGTTCTTACTCTTCACTTTTAGGATCCTGATGTAAACATTCACATCCTGTGTAGATGCTTTTTATAGACCAACACTATAATATGTGTACACTCTCGAACCACTTTGTTAGGTACACCTGTTAAAGTGTTTTTTAATGCAAATCTGTGTCTATCAGCCAATCAAAGGGCAGCAAATCAGTCCATTTAGGCACATAGACATGGTCAAGATGACCTGCTAAAGTTCAAACTGAGCATCAGAATGATGATTGAAGTTACTTTGCCAGTCCTTTAGTATTTCAATTGTCCACACAACCATTTCCAGGGTTTACAAATATACTGCAGCAGCAAATCTTTGCCTGGTAATTAAACCTCAAAACATCAGAGTCTGGCTTTTCTAATGTGAACATTAATTCAGGTTATGAAACAAATTGATTAAAATAGAGGAAAGCCAATATCATCACTAGTATATTTCAACCTAATACTTACTGATGGATTATAACCCTAATAATGAGTTATTGTTGTTATGTTTCCCCCTTTTATTTCAAGTTTTCGAGACCTCACATCTCTCCTGTCTTGTTTAAATGATCTGAAAGTGGTTCAACATGGCTCCACGTGGTCTGCTGTTAATCCAAGTGTGCTGCCTTTGGGCAACATATGAGCCGAGGAAGCAGAAGAGCTAAAGTCTTTATCAGATAGTTTCACAGAAGATAATAAACAGTCGAGCCTTGAACTATACTGGCCAAGTGTGCCCTGCATGTAGCCACTGAGAGATGTTTAAGTATTTATTGACTTAGCCAGCTTCTCTACTGCACATCGCAGGGCTTTGACAAGCTTTCCACTCTTCTGTATTTGTGATTTCAGTGGGTCTCTGGCCTCAGGACCACAGCGATGAAAGATATCTCTAACTATATCAGGTGATCTAGCAAAGCAAGCTTGTGTGTCTCAGCACATAGCTCAGCAGTCCCTGCACCAATGTTAAGAATTATTCGGTGGATCTTTATAAAACGCTGCCCATCACTCAGGCAGTCAGGTATGAGTACGTTTACAAAGAAGGGTCAAGAAGTCTCAACCACACTAAGATGTTTCAGTACTTACACGAAAGAAAGAGAGGTTTGTGAATAATGTTGAACACATGCTTGAGAAATGTTAACGTCATATTAGGCTGGCTTAAATCATCAGCATGACCAGATTGTTCAGATTGTTTATCCACCATGTGCTAAAATATTACATAAATGTTTATGTGGACACAGGGGGACCACATCCCAACAAAGTAATGTGAGGCACATAGACTATGACTGTGTGCTACAATGCGGGGTGTCCTGCTGAAAAGGTGGTCTAAAAAATCTGAAATATCTCACAAACTGCAGGCTAGAAGTTTGGCGTCCAGGATGTGAAAGACAAATCTACTTGGTTTAACTCGCTCGCTAAAGCATTCCAATAAGCATACGCCAAAGTCTATTTTTATCATGTTATCTGCTATTGTTGTTATCTAGCGTCTGTGCGGTCTGGTAACACTCTTTGAGTTTCAGCAGGCTTACGTCACTACGACTCTTTTTGAGCATCACATTTTTTGTGATACTTGGGTAAACTGGTCCTTATGCAGCACGTTTCTATTTTATCTACGCACTTAAGGCACTTTACACAACTCGCCTCATTCACACATTCATACAAGCATTTTTTTTCTATGTAAGTGCTTTCTATATAACGATGGATTTGTTAGGAGAGAGCAACTTGGGGTTAGTATCTTTCCCAAGGATTTTTGGCATGTCCCGCTCTATCCCCTGAGCTACAGCCACCCTGTGTCACTTCATGTCATATTTACCATAGTCATGGTAAGCAGCAAAAGACAGTGATAAATAGTGCTGCTATCTTCACAGCCATTAGTTATGACAGCGAGAATTTAGAAAGTGTAGAAAACGGGACATCGTCTTACTGAACTGGAAGCCTGAAAGTCAGATTCTGACGCAATGATAGTCTCATTCTGTTTAACTTCAAAGGCCAGACTGACTCTGTGCAATAACCTATTGTTTTATGTTTGAGAGGAGACTTTGTTATACCATAACCCATAGAAGCTGTAGTAGCAGTTTGTCAGGCAAGTAAATCAGCTTTTGACATATTAATTGAAGACTTGCTATAGGCTGATTTAAGAGCCATATGTTTTACAGCCATTAGATTCTTTTTGACTTCTTCCTGCTGTGCGTCATTAAGCGCAGTACTCGATCTATTTGAAAATTCCAAAGATTCGGCCATCGAGAGGTCTGGAAACGAAGGCAGTCTGTTTTAAACAAAGAGAGAGCCACAGCTGCCTCTAAAACCTCCTCCTCTCTTCTACTCCACAACCACTTCAGACACTTCTTGTGTACACATCTGAGCTCACTCCTTCGCAACAAACATTTAGCACATCTTGAAGCATAGTCACTGGGAGCAGCACTAAACAGTTTCGCCTTCAAAGAGCCGATCGTCTTGTCCCGTCACACCGTTTGACACGTTTTGAACGGTGGATGTTTGGGTCTTGGGATCCAGGAGCATTGCTCCCTGAACAAAGGTGGTAATTCTGCAAACTTTACCTTCTTACAAGTCAGACGTATGCATTCAGCTCAATGAGTGACTCTTTAATTTTTACTGTAACGTGCAGATGGTTGAAGTGTAAATTAAAAGCCTATCGCCTCATGTAAAAACAACATATATATATATATTGCCAACAGCTACAGAAACAGACATGTTTCCTGGTGTGCAAAAAGAGAAAAGTCTGTTTATTGTGTATTTTGGGTGAGACTGAAGGCAAAGCGCAGTACATTTTATTGCTCATTACAAGATGATTTAAGGGTGGCATAAAATGTTCCTAATTCTGATGCGCTCCTCTGGATACGTGATTATAAGAAACTTGAGCTGTGTTTTGGGTAGGAAACTTTTTGTGCGGTTAATTTTATTTGAGCTCAGGACCTGAGACAAAGCTCTTTGTTTTTTATTATATAGAGGGTTTTTTTGTCGTTTATATATTCTGACAAATGCATCACCACAACTACCAACGCAAGGCAACTTATATAAGACTATGAGCTTATACTGGATCCTCTATTGTCGGATCAGGTCGAGCTAATACTATTCCTCCTGAACCAGGTTTTCCTACCGAAAAGGAAGAAAAGAAGAAAAACGCTCGTTCGGCCTGATCAACTGGAAGAAGAGGCACTGACAAATAAAACCCAGCTGTGTTCTCCTCCTGGATTGGATTTCATATTTATCTCTATTTGCATTCTGTTGAGATATATGCTGGCCTCTAAACAAGTTTTGCATTGTGGTTTCTGGCTCATATCACAGGGGGCTTGAGGCCCTATGATGCACTGAAAGAATTTAGGTTACTTCAACTTGGCTGAGAAACTGTTTCACGTCGAGGAGCAATCAGGAATACAGCTGAGGTTATAATTAAACTGTTTACATACTCATCATTAAAGGTGTTGATGACTGTTAGGGTTTTTTTTTTCTCCTTTTGGCAAAACAATCACGATTTAATGGACAAGTATATAGGACACTATACAGGATGCTGCGAGGCATATTTGTGTGTTTTACCTCACACATATGTTTGTGTTTGTGTTTAGCTAATCAGGAAGTTTGAGCAAGGACCAGTTTAATGCAATCATAGGGTTCTGATACTTTATTTTTTTTTAGCCATACACATTGGATTTAAAGAAAAAAAAATACAAAGTTTGTAATGCTAGTTCACCTGCTGATACTAGTACATATTGTGAAACAGTAATTTTATAATACACAAATATAGACTATATCCATTACTTGCACTTGGCACAAATGATCCCTAATACATGTGTTTACTACTGAGAAGCATCTGTAACATCATCCTGAGAGCATTAGCTCAAAATCACAATAAAGAGAGTGTTCTCCATTAGCACAATACATGGCACGATGATACAGTTTATCTGAACAAGGTTTGTTGTCTATCAGTGTTTTTTCCAGCATTTGCGACAGTCCCGTCCAGTTTGTGCCTGTTTGCCACAGTCATATCATATGAAATGGAGATTTTGAATGAATAAATATTGTTGTTCTGGCTATCCCCAAATCTCTTAATTTCCTCCTAATTTAAAGCTACTAACAAAGTTATTTGAGTATTTTCACAGACTAACCCAAAAATTATCTACAATGCAGAAACATCAATCTTTATAAAAGTAAGTTCACTCGTGGTGAACAGTGTGGGGTGGCATGGAGACCATGTGCGGCCAGCTCATTGGGAACGGCTAAGATCTTCTTGATGCCCAGATTTCTTTGGTGGCAGCTTTAGCATGCAAAACTTATCTTCATCTGAAAGCTTTGGACCCGTGACCACTAGTCCACTTTTAACCAAGCTAGGATGCTCCTGCTGTTGGAGTGGCTTTGCTGTGCTATTTGTGATGTGACGGTGTTACCCCCTTTTTCTGAAACTGTCTTAATGCACTGCGTGTGAAGCTTGCTACTGTTCCTACCACACTTTTCCTTGCAGTTAGAATTCCATTAATATGACTTACAGTACTCTCCAAACAGCCAGCCTTTTCAGCGATGACCTTCTATGGCCTCCTTGTGGAGGATGTCAG